CGGCGGCGGGGAAGGAGGAGGCGGCGGCGATGGTGGAGGCGGTGGTGGCGGGGGACTCGGCGGTGGCGGAGGACTCGGCGGCGGAGGAGGACTCGGCGGCGGAGGAGGACTCGGCGGCGGAGGAGGACTCGGCGGCGGAGGAGGACTCGGCGGCGGAGGAGGACTCGGCGGTGGCGGCGGCGGCGACGGCACGACAAACTCACAGATGGCCACCCAAACATGACCAGAGTCCTTGTTCGAGGCCGGTCCCGAAAAGATCATATCCGGACATCCCGCACCGTTGATGTCACCTGTAGACATTGCGTAGCCGAGCTCTGCGCCAATCGAGACGGCCGACTGGAGCGCGGGGTTGGCCGAGTACGAGATGCGGGTAAAGGCTTCGACAGCAATTGACGACGGGCCACTGTTGAGGAGAAGGACCGCGAGCATGCCGTAGTTGGGCCCGATCTCTTCGGCGCCGGGTGCTCCAAGCGCAAGATCGACGCATCCGTCAGCATTGATGTCCGCGAGCATCACGCCGGTCCCGATCTGTGAGAGCGAGCCAAGAGCAGGCGTAGGCGTCCAGCCTAGGGCGCCTTCTTCGACAATGGTCATACCTGTGATAGCCATAAGCGTCCAGTCCATGTCGACGAGGAAAACCCGTCCGCGCGCCGAGTCGTACAACGGCGCACCGACCGCAAGGAGCGGCGAGCCCGTCCCGCGCACATCGCCGGCGGCTATGGCAGAGCCAAAGCCCGAGCCAAGCGTCACCGGTGCCATACCCGATTGCGAATGGTCAAAAAGCGTAAAGGCAGTGACCGAGCCGTCGACGCGCGAGAGCGTGGCAATGAGAATCGAGCCATAGATCTGCGTCGTAATCCGATCCTGGCCCGAGGCCAGCCCGATGCCCACAAGCGCGTGCGTTGCGTAGTTGATAGTACTCACGCCCTTGATAGTAGCCAGGCCCGAGCCGAACAGCTCGCCGGCCACAAGCGTAGTGAGTCCCAGCCCGACCCCGTTCTCGATGGTGGTCACCGATGAGACACCAGCGTCGGTGGTGAGGAAGATGATGATGACCTTGCCCGTCGCACCAAGGACCGGAGCACCCACAAGCAAATCAGGGACCGAGTCGCCGTTGAGATCGCCGGCTCCGCCCACGGATGTGCCAAACTGGCCAGCCTGAGTCGAGAGCATGGTTGTCAGGGCGGAAGTGGCTTTTGAAAGAACAGACGTCGAGTTGGCCGAGCCGTCTTGGTTGAGCATGACAATGGTGACCGAACCGTCCGAGAGGTCAGCCAGCGGTGAGCCAAAGGCGGCATCACCGGTACCATCTCCATCAACATCCCCAATGAGTGCAACAGAGGTGCCAGAACGGGATGCCGTGGGGTAGGCCACTGTCGTGTTGTCCCAGTCGACAATCTCATCGAAAACAACTTGGCCTGTTCCGCAACTTGCCGCCAACTGGGCGAGGCCCACGAGCACAATCGCAGCTATCGCCATGCCAACAGGGGGCGGACAGGCATCATTGCTAACAATACTGATTTGGTAACGTGGGAAGGGGGGGGAGGGGGGGTCGGAGCTGACAAGAGAAAGCTGTTGCACCTACTCTACCGGTGATTGCTGGCCGAATGCGAGGTGGCCTGTCTGGCCTCATTGTGGTCCGCACCCGCAAGCGTTTGACACAACACGATGGAGCTGTCTTCTTACCTGCCACAACGTCAAACACACACACATACACACACACACACACATACACATACACATACAGTCACATACACACACGCTCTCTCTTTCTCTCTCTCCTGTGTTCGCATCACCATCATACCTACCCTCGCGATGACAACAACCACATGTTTGTCAGAGTCGGCAGCTCAAGAAGGAAATATTTTCCCCCCCCCACCCCCCACCCCCCACCCCCCACCCACCCGCCGTCATGGCGACCCACGTCATTGTCTGCTGGGAACACCGACTGTGGCGACGAACCCAGCCGGTGGACCAAGGCGAAGGCGACCAAGGCGAAGGAACGGGTGTATCTGGCATACTTGACTCTGCCAGCAAGGCAAACACACACACACACACACACACACACACACACACACACATACACACATACACACATACACATACACATACACATACACATCCTCTCTTTCTACTTACGACAAGAGTGGTCGCGATGAAGCTGCGGGCAAGTCACGCAAGCAGCAACCGCGAGGAGAGTGTGTCTGGTCATGCTGGTGGTGGCGTCGCCCTTGCTGGTGTTCCTGGTGGTCAGGGTGGAGCTCTGGCTGCGCCTGCTGCACTCGCTCCTTCTCATTATGGTGGACTTCCTTCTTCGAGTATCATAAGCTCTAGTGCTGAACATGCTGCTGCTGCTGGTGGTGCTGGGGGTGCTGCTGCTGCTACTCTTCCGTTTTCTGTGCCCTTTGATGGCGGCGAGTCCGGCCTGCCTCGCTCGCCCTCGCTCTCGCATGGAAGTGGCTCAAGCATGGTCTTTGCTGCTGATGGTCGTGCCGGCATGGCTGGTGTCGGCATGGGTGGTGGTGGTGGTGGTGGTGGTGGCGGTGGTGGTGGGAATGGTCCGGTGGGTGGATCTGGATTTGCCATGGGCATGCTGAAGAAGAACCCGGGCCTAGCCATGGCCCTTGCCGTTGCTGTCTTTCTCGCCGTCGGCTACTTTGTTGCATCGTCGGACTACACCCAGCGTGGTGGCGCCTACGTTGCTGTCAACCAAGAGCTTACTACCTCGGGATTGGGCTCGTCCGGCGATAGCTCGTCGTCGGGCGATAGCGACGACAACACCCCAGCAGCAACGCCAAAGTCACGCCGGCGTCGCCCGCCTCCTCCGAGTCCGAAACTAACCCTCGCTCCGACCCCGACCCCGACTCCGACTCCTACTCCGACTCCGGCCCCGACCCCGGCCCCGACCCCGGCCCCGACCCCGGCCCCGACCCCGACCACGGTGTCTCCCCCCTTCTCATCCTCCGGCGACGGCAAGATGTCGGCCTCGTCCGGCGACGGCAAGATGTCGACCACATCCGGCGACGGCAAGATGCCGGCCTCGTCTGGCGACAGCAAGATGTCGGCCTCGTCCGGCGACGGCAAGATGTCGGCCTCGTCCGGCGACGGCAAGATGTCGGCCTCGTCCGGCGACGGCAAGATGTCGGCCTCGTCCGGCGACGGCAAGATGTCGACCACATCCGGCGACGGCAAGATGTCGGCCTCGTCTGGCGACAGCAAGATGTCGGCCTCGTCCGGCGACAGCAGATGTCGGCCTCGTCCGGCGACAGCAAGATGTCGGCCTCGTCCGGCGACGGCAAGATGTCGACCACAACCGGCGACGGCAAGATGTCGACCACATCCGGCGACGGCAAGATGTCGGCCTCGTCCGGCGACGGCAAGATGTCGGCCTCGTCCGGCGACGGCAAGATGCCGGCCTCGTCCGGCGACGGCAAGATGCCGGCCTCGTCCGGCGACGGCAAGATGCCGGCCTCGTCCGGCGACGGCAAGATGTCGACTACATCCGCCTCCTCATCCGGCTCGGGATCATCCGGCTCCAAGACGCCTTCACCGACAAAGGCCCGGCGTCGCCGATCTCCGAAGACAAGCTCATTGCGCCGCACGGCGGAAGCCTAGTCCAGCTCATTCCGGCCGACGAGGACGAGCGTGAGGCTATCAAGGACGAGGCCTCGGCACTACCGTCGTACACTCTCACCGAGCGCCAGCTGTGTGACATTGAGATGCTGCTCTCGGGTGCGTTCTCGCCGCTCGACGGATTCATGGACCAGAAGACGTATAAGAGTGTTATCCGTAGCATGCGTCTGCCGTCGGGCGAGCTCTGGCCGATGCCGATCACGCTCGACGTGACCGATGCTGACCTGGAGTTTATGACACCCGGTGCCTCTGTCGCGCTCCGTGACAAGTACTACAACCTCATTGCCATCCTTGACGTGCCCAATGGCAAGAACGCGATTTTCAAGCCGCAGCTCGCACTCGAGTCGGCCAATGTCTTTGGCACCAGCGACAGCTCGCACCCGGCCGTGCATTACCTTATGAACGTGGCCGGCAACCACCTGGTGTCCGGCAAGCTCCGCGGGTACCAGCTCCCGCCACACTACGACTACCGCGAGCTCCGGCGGACGCCCGCCGAGACCCGCGCCTTGTTTGCGAGCCTCGGTCAGGCCGACGTTGTCGCGTTCCAGACCCGTAACCCGATGCACCGGGCGCACATCGAGCTGACGCTCCGGGCCTCGGCCGATGTGGCTGGGCATCTGCTCATCCAGCCGGCAGTTGGGATGACCAAGCCCGGAGACATCCCGTACTCGACCCGCGTCAAGTGCTACAAGATCATTGTCGATCCCGAGAAGGGCATCTACGCTCCAGGCTCGGTCACTCTCTCGCTCATGCCGCTCGCCATGCGCATGGCTGGCCCGCGCGAGGCGCTCTGGCACGCCATCGTCCGCAAGAACTACGGCGCTTCACACTTTATCGTCGGCCGCGACCACGCAGGGTGCAAATCCGCTGACGGCAGCGACTTTTACGGCCCGTTTGCCGCCCAGGAGCTTGTCGAAAGCCACGCCGACGAGCTCGGTATGACCTTCAAGACCTACCCCAAGATGGTGTATGATACCTCGCGCGACGGCTACTTTCCGGTCGACGACGTGCCTGCCAAGAACGCGCTCTCCATCTCGGGCACCAGATTCCGGGCCATGTTGGCGTCTGGCGAGCCCATCGAGCCGTGGTTCTCGGACCCGGACGTCATCGAAGTCCTGCGCCTCGAGTACCCGCCGATGTCGCGCCGCGGCTTTGTTCTCTTCTTCACCGGCCTCTCCGGCTCGGGCAAGACCACCGTTGCCCACGCCCTTCTCCCCACGCTCGAGCAGTACCCCGGCCGCCACTACACCCTCCTCGACGGCGACGTCGTCCGCACTTACCTCTCGTCGGAGCTCTCGTTCTCGCGCCACGACCGCGACCTCAACATTGCCCGCCTCGGCTTTGTTGCCTCGGAAATCGCCAAGAACGGCGGCGCCGCCATCATCTCCGCCATCGCGCCCTACGCCGAGGCCCGCGCCGAGGCTCGTGCCATCGTCGAGGCCGCAGGCGGCGTCTTTGTCGAGATTTGGCAGTCGACCTCGGTCGAGGTCTGTGCTGAGCGCGACGTTAAGGGCCTCTACAAAAAGGCCAAAGACGACCCCGACTTTGAGCTCACCGGCGTCCACCCGAACGCGCCGTACCACGAGCCGGAAACCCGGACATCGTCATTGACGGTGGCGTCCTCACTGTTCCCGACGCTGTCAACGAGATCATCGACTACCTCCTCGACTCTGGCTTGCTCCTTGCCACAGACGCCTCTGATGACAATGACCAGCAGGCTGATCACGCTGCCAATGACGAACACGACGCCTCCACCGGCAGTGATGACCTTGACGAGGCAGACTCGGCCAACACTGCTAGGACGGCCAAGTCGACCAAGTCGACCAAGTCGACCAAGTCGACCAACACCAGTCCCAAGGCCAAGCGCAAGCCTGGCCATTAATCGCCCCCGCCTCCCTCCCCCCCCCCCCCCCCCTTCCTCCCCCCCTCACGCTCCACCACCGCCAACCCACGAGGCGAGTCGCCGCAGCACCACCACCACCTTTCTCCTCTCTTTACAAAAGCAATCAAATCAGGTCACAATGTCCGCCACAAACGACCGCTACATGACCGACATGTCGAGCGAGTTCAACATTCGCATGGTACGCATGCGTGGCTGTAGCAGGAGGATGGGAGGGGGGGGGGGGGGGGGGAGGGGGCGAGGGGACACTCCATG